CCCACATGCCGCTGAAATTTCAAAGTAATACACCTGTAATTCTTCCGTCGTTTGTTAATATTTTACACGCGGGTTTCGGGTCAACCTTTGAAAGTGGTCACAGTTTGATACTTGTGTTTGGATTTTGTTCACACCTGCTTACACTTTTACAATGACCGCTTTAACTTTAACCGCTTTGCGGAGGTTGTGTAATGCGGCCACAGAATCTGTAATATTGCCCACATAAAAGTGCACAGTCTAACTCGGAGGCCATTTCGCCATGTCATAATTTCCCTCCATCTGATTTGGTTCATGGAGGAACAATACTTTCAAGTCGGTGACAGATGTAGAACGTTTATTGCACAGAACATTTCAGTCAACTGTGCACGTTGCAGCCTTAATGCAGTACTGTATGTTGAAAGGGAAGTGGATACCGGTGGCAGATACATTATTTCCAGAATGAAGAGACATAACTTACTGTACATACAACTTCAACATTTGCAGCGGTTATGGGCAGGAATTACATCCTGGAAATCCCTTTAATGGAAAAATTGTACAGTGTGGAATCATATTTTTGCTTTCTTATTAACCATCCGGAGCTGTCGATCTTCTTCTTCCTTGTGGATGTTGTAAAATGAAATACATTATTAACATTGTTGTATTGAAATATAGACATTAGTCACAATAAGTTTGGGATATTTGGCTTTGAAATTGGTGACATTTCGGGATGAACCTAAAAAGCACCTTCTCTAAACTTTTGAATGCACGTTGAACTGTTCAAAATTTCAGCTCTCTTTGCACAATTTTGCAAGGCAAGGCCGAGCTAAAGACTTAAAAACAAAGAACAGGAATACAAATATCGCTAGTTTTGACAACAGCGGCTCAGTGTTGGTAGACAGTGCAAGTGCACTCAAGTGTAAAACTGGCTCATCTTGATTTTTGGGGTGGTGCAAGCCTCGTTTTGCCTGTTTGGTTATTTAGTTCTTATCTCTTCGTCATGCTGGGCGTTATGACGTACTGTAGTTTGGTCCTCTCACATGCCCGGTGCAACTGACAATTTGGTGGCTGAAAGATACTAAATTTCACACCTGCTGGAACCACGCCTAAATATTGGCACAAGCAGCCAAATGCAATTTTGGTGAATTTCATGAAGCTGCAGACAGACAGATTCTCAGCTCAATGGAAATGTGTGGTGGATGTCATCATATGTCATTCATAAATACAATAACAGTGTGCATTAAGCCCACTCAATCAGAGCTATACACACACACACACACACACACACACATATAGTACATACATAGAATGTCTTTGGCATTTGTTATTTTATGATGAACAAAGTTCTAAGCACATCATCTGCACATTATTGGACAGTGACTTTTCTGTAGCTAATCCTTGTTTCTTGCCACCATTCCACGCCCCCCTTGCCGCTAATAAGAATCGATTGGTCCCCTGTCGTATGCTACCTTCCTTTGTGCATGTGTGAGCACTAGTTTACTGTAGCGTCCAACAACAACACAACATTGCTTCTGCAATTGGCATAAAATTTTCCCCAACATATTTTGCAATTATCTACCAACTACTTTTCCACCGGTTTGAGCAATTTGACCCATGTTTTTTTTTAAATTAATAATTGCGATGATCAGCATGATGGGTATTTAGCCTACAGTTATTTCCTTCCCGAAATATGGACAATCAGTAACATTTGACATCTCGTGTGTGAGCAAGAAACCTAAAGGCTTCTATTTGGGGCTCATCAAAGGCACTTCAAATGCTGGTAGGTTGCGCTGACTCCCATTTATAATTCATTTGATTGTGATTGGTTATTTCCGAGCGATCATATCCCCAGCTACAGTATAAGAAGGTGTCTACACTGCAACCACATTACTGTACAGCAGTTCTTTTTTTTTTTTTTTTTACTTCCCCTTTTGAGAAAAAAAAAAATTTACAGGTTGTATGTCATATTAACAGTGGAAAAGGTTTTTAAGTGACTTATCTTGGTCTCATTATTTTATCTCCCAAAAACCTGACATTTGAACAGAGCAGTGTGTAGACTTTTGATATCCAAAGCATGGAAAACAGGCAAACTTGTTATGGCCCATAAACAGAACCCCCAACTGACTGAAGGTTCAGACAGGGGACAAGAAAGATTGTACAAGAATTGCTTTTAGTGGTGGATCGGCATTGTAGGAATTTTTTAATTTCCTGTTCCTGAATAATTCTGCGCTAGTTAGGTTCCTGGACACGATCCTGCCCTGTACCTCCTCTGATCATCTCAATCCATCGGACAGATGCGGGGAAACATGCTATAATCCGTTATCGCTGCTCAATGACATGGTGGCCATGTGCCGGGCCTAAATGGTATCAGACTGGGCGTAGCTTACTTAGAGGCAGCTGGACTTCAGGATGTGATGTCACAGTCTGGGGCACCCCCCCGTCCCTCAACCCACCCACCCCGTCATGCACACACCTGCCAAAGAAGTGACTAGTCAATCCTTCAGGCACTTTATGAGCTCCTGGTGATAAATGGGAATGATTAGGCCGTTTTTACTGTGCAAATAAAGAAAGCAGTCAAATAAGAAGCAGAACGAAGTGAGTGGTAAGTGCTTTACAGTGGGGGCGTTGACTTCCAGGCCTGCAGGGCTGTGGAGCTGGAGGTATTCCCTCTTTAACCCCCAACCTGCCACCCTCTCCAGTGCACGCCCATCATGGCCATTCAGGGTCAAATAAATCACCTACCACGACAGGTGACCTGTTGTTTATTCGTAAACGTCTGAAGGAAGGTAGTGGAGGGGTTAAAGCACCAGTCTTAAGGTAGATTTTGCAGTCCCTCAGGGAGGCTCCTGTGCAAGCCTGGAGAATGAGCACCGCTAAACCGGCAGCAACGGATGGCTAGAATGAATTGTGAAAGAACGACGACGACTCAATTAGTATTTTTTTGAAGGAAACATATCTTTGTTCTTATCTGATAGTCTCAAACATAGAGTGGAAACTCACAATTCTGTCAGATCAGAATGAATTTTGCGGACTAATACATTTCTAATGTTACACCCAAAAAATTTCGAACCATCGCCATAGGTGTGTATGCTCTCTGTGTCTTTATTAAGACATTTATCCCTCATGAAGGGGCAGCCAAAAAGTGTTCAAAGAACGTACAAAGAGAAGAACAATTTGCACTGGAAGTAATATGAAGTGAACCGACTCGCATTCACATCAGTAAGAACCTATTGATACTTTAAGGGTCATCACTTGGAATTTGAGGTCGTTTTTGTGCTTCTTAGGCTAATTGAAGACTCCAAATTGCCCATACGAGGGAATCTTTGAATGGTTGTGTGTCTGCCCAGTATGTGCCCAGCGACTGGAAGGCAAACAGTCCAGGATGTATGCAGCATCTGGGGTAAGCTCCTGTGACCTAATGACGATAATAATGCCAAGCGGTATAAAAATGGATGGATGGATTAACATGGCGGCCTGGTGGTCCAATGAGTGCTTAGTGCGTTGACTGGTACCGGGTTCAATTCCAGCTCCGGCCTCCCTGAGTGGAGTTTGCATGTTCGACCCCGGCCTCGGGTGGGTTTTCTGCGGGTACTCCGGTTTCCTCCCACATTCCAAAAACATGCATGGCAGGCTGATTGAACACTCCAAATTGTCCCTAAGTGTGAGTGTGAGCGTGGATGGTTGTTCGTCTATGTGTGCCCTGCGATTGGCTGGCAACCGGTTCAGGGTGTCCCCCGCCTACTGCCCGAAGACAGCTGGGATAGGCTCCAGCACCTCCCGCGGCTCAGAAAATGGATGGATGGATGGATTAACATTGCTTAACTTCTCTTCACACTCGTAAGGGTTCACCTTGGCAATACGAAACGGTTTCTTTCTTTCACCGGAATATTTATAATGGGAAAAAAAATCTCTTCTCAATGTGGACAAAACAGATGTTGATCGATAAACCGGAATATATTTTGTTCAAACTTTCGCTGTTCGATCACGGATGAGTTCATCAATTGCAGCATTACATGAATGAAGCAATTCCAAGTTGATTGCCAAGAGTGGCCTTTGGGGGAAGCTAAAGAAAGTCTGACATTTATCACAGTGATATGTTACACTACATTATTGTCTGAATGCTGTCTCCCAAACTATGTGAGCCTGACAGATTCCAAAGCAGCAGAGGCCTTCGCACAACACAATCACCCCGTCACAATCCAACAATTACTCGCGCCTTCTCCCAAAGCTAAGTCAACCCTAACGTTTTGGAATTAAAATAATGATTGTCTAAACATTTAGACATTGGATTTCTGTGTACACACACCTTTGCCTCGGCGATGTGTTGTCACGAGGCTGGCAAAACAACATTAGCCTGAAAGAACCGTGCAAAATATATCAATATCAATTGATGTCATCTGCCCATGTAATGTAAAGCTGAGATTGAGCTCCATCAATTAGGATTTGCAGTGGAGCAGAAAATAGCCTGAGGTGCTAAGGTGGAGGAATGTACATGGGAAAAAAAAACAAAAACTTTTCACATGCACACATTTGAATGTTCAAATCACAGTCATATTAAATGCCTGTCACGGTTTCCAGAAACAATAATCCACCGTTACTTTTGTCCTATCTTTCAGATTGTGACGACAGTATCGTCCAAATCTTACAAACTCAACTAGGGGATGACAGTCATAATCATAAATCCTTCTCGGAAATATCTCATAATTACACGTCTTCCTTGGTGTGGTGAAAGACACAATAATAGTTGCTTTCTCCCATCACAGGCCAAGGTGTTGCAATATCTTGTGTTTCCTCCTCAAGGTGCTACACGTCCTACGCTCATTCAACAGGATTTGAAGCGACTTGACTCAACAAGCGCTCACACCACGTTAATACTTTGTTGCTTCTGGTAGCGCTGGCACCAAGACAAAACTTGCTTGAATCCACAGTTTCAATTCTAAACCGACATTTTGGGAGGGAAAATTTTCAGGCCATCATTATGTATGACATCGCGCATTATTTTAAGCGCAGCGCTAACAAAAGCGTTAGCGCTGCGCATTTATATGCTGCAGATTCCAAATGCCCAGCCTCAACAAAGGGTGTTTAAGTGGAAGAATATTTGGAAACTTATCTAACATAAATTGAAGCAACACTCAGAGCAGGAAGTAACAAAAACAATGGAAAGTGTTGGAACAGAGTTGTTCTTTTACCACTATTTGTTACGGGAAAAAAATGGAGGAAGCGTTGTCTCCTGCAGCGGACTGGGGCGGACTTCCTCATGACGCGGTCGTTTGTGTTGTTAAAGGTCAAATACTTAACTCTCCGTATTGCCGTTGGTAGTTAGTGCAGCAGAAAGTCACTTTCGACAGAAAGAATGTGAGTAATTGTTTCCCTTTCTCTCAGACTGTATGGGGACAAAGCAGACAGAAGTTGGAAAACTTGCGGAGAGACGTCCATCGTGATTTGTGGGCTGCGATTGAGGCCGCCGCTCATCTCGCAGGCGTCCTAATCTGCCGCTCGAATCTCTTTACTGTCACATCAGTGAAACCTGTAAAGTTGATATTTTCGCAGGCTATAATTTGGAGTGGATATTATCAGCGCGGGTATCAGCGCGTCAGCCTGAGCGAAATGATGAATCCGTTAAAATGACTCATTACCTGCTCAAATCCGGTTTATCACCTTGATCTGCCTTCACAAGCGGCATCCGAACAGAAAACTTCCTCTCAGGTCATTGCTGCTGACAGCTCAAATCATGTCACTTATTGAGCAAGAGGTTGAGTGCTGAAGCTTGACAAGCAGGCGTAATAAGCCCGGCAGTTGAGTTGTCACCCATGGGTGCTGCCTCGGGGAACTGAGTCCTTGCGAGCATCTTTGGATTCCTGGGCCAGAATGTAACTCTTTGTTCTGCAGAAATGAGAAATATTTTCATGCTTGACGTGTTCGTGTAATAGCGGGGTAATGAGTGTCAAAGTGCTGTGGCCGTTCCAAATACCTTTTGCTATCCTTTTCTTTAGTGTCAAAGACGCAATCCGCATGCAAGGTGTAGCAGCTGCCACTGTCTCACTTCCCGACGTGTGATTTATGTCAGCGGTGAGCCACGGCGCGTTGAAAACATAAATGTTACTCATTAAACATTTATACAACCAGCCTTTTTTTTTTCCCCGTTTCGTCAAGACATGCACCGACATAACACTATGTTGAAATTTGGAGGAAAAGAAACGACTGTCATGAGGCAATAATTCATTACATCAAGTAGTGTCATTCATTTTAACAGTGACTCCGTGTGGGTGGATGATTGATTGATTCACTCGTGAAGAATTACACACGTGTGTCACAAAGGCTTTGTTCCAAAAATTTTAGCATACAAACTCATCTTTTTTTTGTTGTTGGTGTTGTTTTATCTAGCCTATTTAATGGAGGCGGGCTACATTCTACAATGCTAAGTGCTGTTAATCCTGGCCTGAGGCCTCAGACAACAGAAATACAAATTTGCGGCTGCCTTAATTACTGGATTTCAAAAACAAACAATAAACCTGCTTTTGATAGAGATGCTGCTGGGGAGCAAACGACCTCTGGGCTTATTGCCATATTATGATGTCTTAGCAAGATTAGTTTAAAAAAAAAAGTCACATGTGATGTGGAAGTGGCTCAACGTTGAGGTTGACGACATTCCAACGTGAGCGAATATTAGTTGACGCAATTATTTTTGGATTTTGGCAGAAAGGAGAACGGTATAAGGGCCGCACTGAGAATGTAAATACGGGAACAAAAAAAAGGCACGATAAAACTAGAATAAAGTTGCGATATTACGCGCAGAGACCCGTTCAAGATATTGTTACATAGGTAGACTGTAATGTATTGTCAAAAATCACCGATGCTAGCAGACGTAGCGGGACCCTGCAAATGTTTGTGTATGACACATGGTTTCTTTGTTTGTTCAATTGTCGAAACAGAATTATTTGGGACCAATATTTTATATGACCTGAGTAAGACACGGCAGAAACGGCGGCTTCTGCTCTTACACTGCGCCGTTTATATTTGTGTCATAAAGTTGATTTGTTTTTCTTTTCTGGTATTGTGAGAAAAAGCCACCATGATGCCAACATTTAGGGTTCCCCGTTTATCAAAGCGGTATGAGTTGATTAAGAGATAAATACCGAGATAAAGGCGTGTCTGTTTTTACGCTTGAGTGATACCTCCTCCTGCACAAAGATGCTCTGTTCTCTCCTGACCACCCGAGTACTGCAGGTCCGCTTTTGATTCTATTTTATGAGTCCTAATTGTGACTGACCCGTCCGGCCGGTGGCTTTATTTCATCCCGGGAAGAGGGCTTTGCTCCTTGCGCCTGATTGGAGCATCTCATCGCGCTGACCTCCACCTTCACGGGACGGTGAGGGACAGGTCTCAAGTTCACGCTCCCTCTTGGGTGGTACGACTCTCAGTTTACCTCCACCTGTCCGCCGGGGTGAGCTTCACCCGTCACCTCTCGCCCTCCGGCTTCTCTCGGAGGAGAATTAACAGAAGCGGCTCAGTTCCGTTTACAGCTCCTGAACAAGCCTTCGGCTTTGTTTACCAACACTGCTTTCAAGCGCTATCACATTATGCGGGACAATACGGCTTGATGACATTGCTTTAAATGAGCGTATGCCTTATAAGAATATTCATAATCATCCCAGAGCAGGGCAACACTAAATACTTTTGCGCACTGCACTCAAGCGGCTGCTCTTCTTGTTTACGCAGTAACATAAGAATGTGAGTTTAACCCTTTATTCAACTACAAATTCCCCATTGTTTGCATAACCTCCCGGTGACTCGCAAGTCACATTTGTTCTGTAGGTCTCAGTACAGCGAAAAATGGCCGCCGCTTGACCAGGTCCTCTTTGATGCAATAATGAAAACAAATGGCTGTAACGCAATAATAGATGGAGGAGCGCCGCGGTTTCAAAGCTGCCGTTGCAGTGAGTTGACGTGCGAGCAGGAAAACACCAAGCTGCGTTTGTCATCGCTCTTGACATTGTCTCTCACACAAATTATTTCCTCAAGCTCTCTTTAGAGTATTTTGTCATCTTAGGGCACAATTAATCACAGGAAGTGCAGTTCCATATGTCTCTGCAGTGACTTTAACTGACCCCAGTTAAAGTCAGAGTAAAATCATTTTCCGGTTTCTACTTCAAGGTTAAGATATTATAGAAATTTAGCTTTTTGCATGCTTTAAAAAAAAAACAGTTTGGTCTGCAGAGAAAGTGCCACCCGTTTTCCGGACCGTTTGTCTGGCTCAGGGTCGAAGGTTATCCGCCTGCTTCTGAAAATGTATTTTGCCACACCATTTTGAACTTCGCTGATTGTAACAGCACAATTAATCTAATTTACATACATTTCCCCACCCATGACTTGACAACTAGGCTCAGCGAAGATCCTCCCCTTTCAAGCCGCTTTGTCTGAAAGCCAAATATTAAGCAGAGCTGCACTCAGATGACTTTTTCTCGACAGTGAACGTCTACGGGAGAAAAAGGCAAAATGCCTGAAAAATCTAAAATACGCGTTATTATTTTGATATTTTCAGAGATTGAAGGGGGGTTTGCATGTGAATTTTGATCATGATTGGTTGTAGTTTTCTGACATTTACCAGGTGAATTTATTTAGTTTTTTTACATTGAGCGTTTTAGACTGTCCGCCTCTGTCTCCGCTAGCAAGTGAGGAGGAGATTGCTGGCCGTCTCGGTCTCGCTATTGAGGGGGTATATGGGATCGGGAAGCGGGCGGCTTTGGAGAGCGACCCAGCGTCGGCACTTCGCCTTGGTTCTTTTGTCCCCTCTTGTTGTGGCACCCTGGTACAGACCAGCTATCTACCATTGTCAAAGTGTTGCGTTTCCTCAAATTAGCGAAAAGTTTTCTACCCTGCCAAAATTGTGTTGTTTACGTTTGTCACAGTGCATTGTGGGATGTGTGACATCAACGTCAAGAGCTCTCAACGAGTGTTCCAACGGCATATAAGGTGGCGCGAGCGCATTTCGGATAGGACAGGAAATAAATAGTGTGGGTAAAATGTTTTGCTTCTTGATCGATGAGCTGCTTGAACATGCATGCCACAGACACGTTACTGGGACACCTGGGACCTTTTTAGTTTTAAAAATGCATTCCAATCCTCACCTAAGTGGTGTGGTAATAAAAGAGAACAACAACCAAAACAAGACAACTTCCATAATTTGGGGTAAGTGTAGCGCACACAAAAATAACAGAACATTTGAAGTTTTCTCCAATCCAAACTTTGTTTCACCTTTGGTTGGATTGTCTCAAGAATAAATGCCATTTGTAGTGCTCTAAATAAGGTTATTAGGAGACATCATAACATATCACTGGTAAACTGGAATCGAAAAACATTTTGCTCTTGAGATAGACGGCAAGTTGTTTTCTACAAGCTCACCTGTTGTTCTCCTAAGGAAATCAATGAGTCTCTCCGGGTGGATAATAACATTCCCGCTGGAGAAGAGCCGCTTAATTCACTCTTATCATTTTAGGTTGTCTGGCTTCCAGTCAAGCTGGGGTCCAAGAGGTGAAATGAGTTTGGCAACCTCAAACTGCGGGCAGGACAAGAGAGCGCACATCATAGCACAGTTTGCGGAAGAAAGAGAGAGAAAATTGTCCGCACAAGCGGGAAAGATAGAGTTTCATCAGCACGCCGCTGAAAACGCACGTCTTTGGCAGACTTCAAACACTTAATCGGCAATCATTTTTCAATGAGCCCCAAAGGAGCATATTTTAGTGCTCCACCAAACAGTCTGCTGCTTTGTGCGCTCTAATCCCTCACGGTTATGCATCATGGGGAGCCAGCCAGGGTTGGTTTTCCACGCGGAGGCTCACCCCCACCTTTCGACATAGAGACAGACAGACGGACCGATGTCCTTTCCTCTGGTCTGCCTCACCCGCAACATCTGTGTCCGTCAAGGAACACTCACTTTTTATTGGTAAAGCCCTCAAATTTGGATTGTCTTTTGATCTGGAGGCTGGACAAAGTGCAAATGTAACATGATCCCATAAGCGGCCTTCTCATCTGCCTTGTTAGGCGCTCTGAAGAGGGTTCAGCAGTCCATATTGAGCCCGGCCTCTTGTGAGACCCTCACCCGAATCTCCTCCCAAGCACGTACACAC